TAAAAAAAAAAAAAAAAAGAAAGCAGGCTGAGCAAGCCAGGGGAAGCCAGCCAGTAAGCATCTCCCCTCCATGGACTCTACATCATCTTCTGCCTCCAGGATCCAGTACTGCTTGCGTTCCTGTCCTGACTTCCTTCAGCGATGAACAGCAATGCTGAAGTGTAACCTAATATACCCTTTCCTCCTCCACTTGCTTTTTGGTCACGGTGTTCTAGTGAAGCAATAGAAACCCTAAGACACAGCCCCGCCATTTCATGAGCCAATTCCTTAAAGTAACATTTGTCTCTATGTGTGCACTTACACACCCTCTGTGTTTGCTTCCACACCCCCTGCTGCTTCAGTCTCCCTGGGGAACCCTGACTGATACATCTTGCACAACCCCTCTCTCTCTCAGGGTGGGAGGCAGCCATGCACCCATGCAGAGTGCAGCTTTATGAGTTCCCTAGCCCAGATAGTTCCTCCCTTTCTCTACCCCATTTTGACCTCAATGTGACCTCACTGACCTTTCCTATGTCAGCCACATGAGTGGTCTCCGGCCATTCCCCACGATGCTCTGTAGTCAATTTGATTGCTAACGCCTGTTGCAGAAACAGAAACCAAACTACTGAGGACTTTGTGTCTCAGTGGCTACAACAGAGCCTCTCTGGACATAGGAGACAAGGCTGGCTTAACAGCCCTGCTGACCACTGCCCTTGCCATCCTGGCCAAGCATCCAACACCAAGCTGCCAAGTCCCAGACAGCAGCAATGAATACAAGTGGGAAGCTTGTATCTCACCACAGTCAGCAGACAGAGGGTACTCCCAGAGCCGCCATAGTTCTCAGCCCCTCTGGATTCCTAAAGGAAACCCCAGCCCCAGTCACACAGGGACAAAGCAGTAAGTCCCAGGCCTAAGCCTACAGTCAAGCATCTGTCCCACAGGGCTTTCCCTGGACCCCCTCCTTGGGCTGCTGACATGCGATCAGCGGCAGCTGTCCTCAGCCAAGCTGTGCACCATCTGTGCTCTGGGCCCAGACATGCCGCACAGCGACAGCCAGCCTACACTGCAAGTCGTCGTCAGCAGATTTGGGGAGACAGCTTGGAATTCTTAAAGGGGAGAATTAGTTTTTAGAAAAGGAGAAAGTTTTTTCCCACATTAAAAAATGGAAAACACTGTTGTGATGGAAGGAATTAGGTCTTTGTGTGACGCCACAGTGGATGGTTTAAAAATGGAACAATTAAATGAGGGGAGAATTAATTTAGCTGGGATTTACATAATGTCAATTATAAACTATCAGTTTGGTAATTATTGTTTTATCCCTAAAAAGTTGGTTGCTATAAGTGCCAAGATACAGGCCTTAGGAAATGTTACTAAAGAAAATAACGTCATTTTCCTGATAGTTGCAAGTCTTAGAAAAACTTACTAAAACAGATAATAGAGATACTGGGACAAAGAGGAATTTAAAGAGAACCAACCTCACCATTATATTATAAATTTAGAGAGGAACAGCCCAAATTTATCAAAAAAAAAAAAACCTTAATTTACCCAGTTACCATACAGGACCAACTGCCAAATAACAGGTACGTAAGAGCTGACCGGATTCCTGTGGAAATGTTAGATTTCAGGAGACTTAAGAAATGAAAGTCTCATATGGTATCCACTCGCCTTTTGTGAGACAGGTGTGAAATTCATGGTAAACTAGTAACAGAATTGTCCCACAAGACTGGAAAGACTTCGTTTCAGCAGTATTGGAACCTGGTCCTTAATTACAGTGGAGGACCAGGTAGAAAGATGGGCTAAGACCATTGGACAGTGAATGAGGCTAGAGGTATGGAAATTTCCCAACATCAGCTTCTTGGAGAGGGTGATTACACTGATGCACAAAGACAGTCTCTATATGATGACCACACCTTGATGCTACGTACGCCACACAGCAGCTTTGAATGTTTGTATAGTCTGGATGGACATAACAAATTATGGTCCTTTAACCTCTTCAAGATCTGCTGCATATGACATTTAAAATGTTTAGGTTTTCTGCAGAGAACCATGGCCATACCTAACAGTGACCTTTAAAGTCTCCATAAGGAGGATGGGGCCCTACAATGACGATCCCACTGGGACTATGCTAATGCCACTAAGCTGACAAACACCACCCGAAGATCAACTTTGGACTACAAACTGCTCAGGGCAATTTCAAGATGGCTGAATGAGGTGATTCAGCCTCACAGACTACTCTAGCCAGGACTTGAGACAAGTCCTATATTTTCCCATCACACAGAGACTGGACAACAAATGATACAGTTAGCTCTCCCAGGTCTTGACAGTTATCCCAATTCTTTTCAGGGTTCCCTAAAGATGCTATCACACCCAGATAGCATAAGAACATGATGCCCACATTCCCAAGAGGTGGGGTGGGTGGGTTTTGGTCATTCAGTGGGTTATAAATATTTGTCATCATTTGTAGGGTTGGTTACAAGTTGTTATTGGTAATGGTCAGTATAAACACTGAACAAAGGATATTAGCTTCAGGGATCTTGTTCTGAACAGAAAAGGGAGGAATATAGAAAAGATAGAATAAAAGGGTAGATTATTAATCTAATTTTAAACCAAAAAAGCAATAACTAGTCTTAAATGTTTTACATTGGTATGGATTTTTGCATATTGATACAAATTTGAGGTTATTTTGGTTATACTGTATATGTGTTTCTACTCTTATTTACGATATTTTTGTATAGTGATACAAATTTAAGGTTATTTTAGTTAGAACATACTGCACATATGTTTCTACTCCTAATCAAAGTGCTGTTCTATACAGGTCATTTAACAATGTAATGTAAATTTCTAGTTCTTGAAAGCTATTATTACAAACGATTTAGGATAATAAAAAATGCAAGTCAGTAGTTAGTTACCCATTACAATCAAATTTGTAGTCATGTTAGGGATGTTTTCAAGGTCAAACAGATACATATTTTAGATAGGTAGTCCTCAAAAACACTTCAGAGATCTGCAGAATATGGTATTTAAGATTCTTTACTAATATAAGGTTCTTTTTTATGACAATGAGACTTGTCTGCTTATGGTAGCAACAATCTACTTCAGAGAAGATGATAGGCATCAAAGAAATTCAACATGAAGTTTACTTTCTTTGTGACAAAAGTAAGCCATTGGGCAAGAAAGTGTCCTTGCCTCAACTGCTGTCCAAATTGCACAAGCAAGACACAAAAGAAAGTGACTGCCAAACATTGTCAAGACAAGGCAGGACAGTTCTTCAAAAATCCTGCCTCACTGACAAGTCAGTGAGATACTCTAGGCCTGTAGGCCAAAGATGGGTACCCAACATTACAGAGGAACCTTGAGTGACTGTCCAGGCAGTCAACTGTTTCTGTAATTTATTAATTTTGGAAGCTGTTTGCTCTGCACTTTGATTTACTCAGGTAATTTTATATCCTCCTCAGGTCTCTGATGAAGTTGAAGACTAGATAGTTACAGTTTTCCTTGTTACCAAATTCAGAAAAGAAACTCACAAAAGAGGTATAAAATGTATAAGGTTGAGGGACATAAAAAGATAGTTTGGGGTTGGAAATAAAAGTTAGACTAGAAAGTAAATTATGGGGTTGGAGAGATGGCTTAGAGGTTAAGAGCACTGGCTGTTCTTCCAGAGGTCCTGAGTTCAATTTCCAGCAACCACAAAGTGGCTTACAACCATCTAGAATAAGATCTGGGGTCCTCTTCTGGCCTGCAGGCATACATGCAGGCAGAACACTGTATACAAAATTCAAAAAAAAAAAAAAAAAGAAAAAGAAAAGAAAAGGGAATTCGTACAACACTTTGGACTCACCAAGATAGAATAGATAATGGAGTATTTTCTCTGAATTTGTCAGATGCAAATGGACTAGACACTGTTAATGTCCTTCTTGCCTGTATATATTTGTATATAGTTGTTTTACTTATTGTATATAGTTTTACTATGTTAGTTCAAACCTTCACTTTTTATTTAGACAAAAAGGGGAATTGTGTTCTGACAAATAAAGCTGGCTTGGAGTGGAAAGGCAGAGCTAGCCACTAGCTGACCATAGAGGTTTGGAGGACTGCAGGAAGACAAAGAGGAGACAGGAAGCAGTAAGGTGGGGCTGAGAGAGGATCTTGACCCTTTTGGACAAAGGAATGGATGAGGTAGGAAACAACTGGCATCTGCTTCCCATTCTCTGATCTTTCAGGTTTTTACCACATATTTGACTGCTGATTTTTTAATGATAAAGATTAATTAGATTAATGTTTCATGTACCAAATGGCTTTTGCTTCTGGATTGGAGCAAGGGGTATAAAGTGTGGATGGGTGGACTGGTGTATGAAGAAATGGATGATTGGTTGGTGGATGGTGGGTAGATGGCTGAATGAATGAATGAATGAATGAATAATAGGTGGATAGATGAATGAGTAGGATGTATAGATAGACAGACAGGCAGACAGACGAGATGGAACGGGATGAGTAGGTTGTATAGATGAGTGGATGGGTCTTTTATGTTTTAAATCAAAAGGGATTTTGATTGAGATTACACTTAACACATAGATCAGTTTGGAAGAATCAGCACCCAGAAAGATGAGTCTTCTAGCCTGTGACTTTGCATGGGTTTCTATTTAGGTCTTGGGTTCTCTCAGCAATACTTTGTAATTCTCAATGTGCTGGTCTTACACCTTGTCAGATTTTCCCCCCAGTATTCCATATTTTTGATAATTTTGTGATGCATAATTTTTTATTCCGGTATTAGTTTGCTTGGTGCTAATCTATAGAAACAGTCCATTTTTAATCAACACAAAAAACACGTAACCTAACATTTCCCATCTTAGCTCAGTGGTGTTGAATAGCCTTACCATACTGTGGTCTGTCACCACCACACACCTTGAGAACTCTTTCTTTCTTTGAGAAAAACTGAATTCTACTCGGGAGAAAGGGCTCAACAGTAAGAGCATGCGCTGTTTTTGCTTAGGATCTGAGTTGGGTTCCCAGACCCACAGCAGGTGACTCACAACCACCCACAATTCCAGTTCTAGGGGATGGGACACTCTCTCTGGCCTCTCCGGGCACTCACATATGAACACACCCTAACAGACATACACACACACAGAAACAAAAATAAGAGTAAAATATCTTGCTGGGAGGTGGTGGTGCACCCCTTTAATCCCAGCACTCAGAAGCCAGAGACAGACAGATCTTTGTGTTTGAGGCCAGCCTGGTCTACAGAGTGATTCCAGAATATTCAGGGCTATTTAGAGAAACTCTATAGTTAGACTTTCCTTTACGCTGTCAACTCACAAATAATGACATGGAGACTTATTATTAATTATAAAAGCTCAGCCTTAGCTTAGGCTTGTTTCTAACTAGCTCTTATAACTTAACATAACCCATAATTTTTAATAGCAACATAACCCATAAATTTTAATTACATTCTTTCACATGGCTCTGTTACTATTTCTCTGTTCTGTCCATCCTGCTTCCTCCATGTCTGGCTGGTGATTTTGCCTTTCTTCCTCTCCAAGTCCTCTCCGCCCCCCAGAAGTCCTGCCTAATCTCCTCCTGCCTAGCTATTAGTCATCCAGCTCTTTACTAACCGAATCACAGTGACACGTCTTCCCAAGGGCTAATACTAAAGTGTGTATCACCACTGCTTGGAAGTTTCCATTTCTTAACATTTTCA